TTTTTTTTGAGACAGAGTTTCGCTCTTGTTTCCCAGGTTGGAGTGCAATGGAGCAATCTTGGCTCAACGCAGCCTCCGACTCCTGGGTTCAAGTGATTCTACTTCAGCCTCCCAAGTAGCTGAAATTACAGGCATGCGCCACCATGCCTGGCTAATTTTGTATTTTTAGTAGAGATGGGATTTCTCCATGTTGGTCAGTCTGGTCTTGAGCTCCTGACCTCAGGTGATCCACCTACCTCAGCCTCCCAAAGTGCTGAGGTTACAGGCATGAGCCACCCTGCCGAGCCTAATTTTCGCAGTATTAGTAAAGACAGGGTTTCACGATGTTGGCCAAACTGGCCTTGAACTGCTTGCCTCAGGTGATCCACCCACCTCAGCCTCTCAACGTGCTGGCATTACAGGTGTGAGCCACTGTGTCGGGCCAAGAAGTTATTTTCCCTGAATTCTCATTTCAGGCCACCCCATTCTTTTATGCTTCCATCAAACAGCCACTTGTAAATTACCTGTAAATCATTCTTATAAATTACTTACCTTAGATTGCTTTAGTCTCTAAATTTCATCTGGAAACGAAAATGTTCTTTAACTTTTTTTTTGTCTTCATTCTTTGGTAATACCATAAGGAAGGAATATTGCCAGGCGCGGTGGCTCATGCCTGTAATCCCAGCACTTTGGGAAGCTGAGGCAGGAGGTGGATCATGAGGTTAGGAGTTCAAGACCATCCTGACCAACATGGTGAAACCCTGTTTCTACTAAAAATACAAAAATTAGCCAGGTGTGGTGGCATGTGCCTGTAATCCCGGCTACTCAGGAGGCTGAGGCAGGAGAATCACTTGAACCTGGGAGTTGGAGTTTGCCGGTAAGCCAAGATGGGCCGCTGCACTCCCACAGGCAGAGTGAGACTCTGTCTCAAAAAAAAAAAAAAAAAAATTTTTTTTTTTTTTTTTTTTTTTTGAGATGGAGTTTCGCTCTTGTTACCCAGGCTGGAGTGCAATGGCGCGATCTCGGCTCACCACAACCTCCGCCTCCTGGGTTCAGGCAATTCTCCTGCCTCAGCCTCCTGAGTAGCTGGGATTACAGGCACGTGCCACCATGCCCGGCTAATTTTTTGTATTTTTAGTAGAGACGGGGTTTCACCATGTTGACCAGGATGGTCTCGATCTCTTGACCTCGTGATCCACCCGCCTCGGCCTCCCACAGTGCTGGGATTACAGGCTTGAGCCACCGCGCGCGGCTTTTTTTGTTTTTTTAATAAAGGCAAACAGCTGAACAGATAAAGATGTCATATTCATATAGATGGGCAGAGTATCGATACTGCATATAATTTAAGAAACAAATTTTAGGCCTGGTATAGTGGGAGATGCCTGTAATCCCAGCACTCAGACAGAAGGATCACTTGAGACTAGGAGTTAGTCAGCTTTCTACAAAAATAGAAATGAAAATTAGCTGGGCATGGTGGCATGAGCTTGTAGTCCCAGCTACTTGGGAGGCTGAGGTGGGAGAATTGCTTACCCCAGAGGTTAGGAATTATAATGATCTATGATCATGCCACTGCACTCCAGCCTGGGCAACAGAGTGAGACTCTCTGTCTTTTTATAGAAAATTTAGAAGAAAAAGATTTTGTCAAGAGTTCTATACTTGTGTAAAACAGACAGATGCTTCACAGAGGTAGTAACATTTGATAAATCATAAGGATGCGTAGAATCTGCAGGTGTTTGTTAGGTTGTACCAACTAAGGAACCAGACAGAAAATGCCTCTCTGTGAACTTGGTATTTATTTCTAGGGCAGCATTAAGGAAAATAGGAAAGGAAATATGCCACTGTTAAGTTGCAGGGAAAAGGAAAAACTTGAGGCAAATGCTGAAGGTTCAAGGTGTATGGTACTTTCAGATTTTAAGAAATCAGTACAGGAAATAAAAAGATACCATAGATAGGTAGTCAGATTTCACAAAAGCTTTGGTGTATGTACTGTGGGCTTGTGTTTTGTTTTGTTTTTTATAGAGGCAGGTGAAAACAAACAACAGGCAGACCTGTTGTCTACAATGTACTGGTTTGGATTAAGACAGTCACAGTGGGTAGGAATACATGGGAAGGATTTTAGTGTATATGTGCTTAGAGGTAGAATTGAAGGACCCTTTGGTCTTGGCAGACAGATAGAAATCTGATATGAATCCTTTAATTGGGCAATAGCAATAGCAATTTTTTTTTTTAATCTTAGCTACTAGGAGGCGGAGCTTTGCTCTTGTTTCCCAGGCTGGAGTGCAGTGGCTTGATCTCCACTCATTGCAACCTCCGCCTCCCGGGTTCAAGCAATTCTCCTGCCTCCCCAGTAGCTGGGATTATAGGCGCTCACCACCACGCCTTGCTAATTTATGTATTTTTAGTAGAGACAGGGTTTTACCATGTTGGCCAGGCTGGTCTTGAACTCCTGACCTCAGGTGTGAGCCACCGTGTCCAGCCAGCTATAGCATCTTAAGTTATTCTGAGTGCTTGCTGAATGTTTCTTTCTCTCTCTCTCTCTCTTTTTTTTTTTTTTTTTTGAGACTGAGTCTCACTCTGTTGCCCTGGCTAGAGTGCAGTGGTGCGATCTCGGCTCCCTGCAACCTCTGCCTCCTGGGTTCAAGCGATTCTCCTGCCTCAGTCTCCTGAGTAGCTGGGATTACAGGTGCGCACCACGATGCCTGGTTAATTTTTACATTTTTAGTAGAGACAGGGTTTTGCCATATTGGCCAAGCTGGTCTTGAACTCCTGACCTCGTGATCTGCCCGCCTTAGCCTTCCAAAGTGGTGGGATTACAGGCGTGAGCCACCATGCCCAGTCATGCTTGCTGAATGTTTCTAGTAGTGATGTTGACTTAGAGTTGGGATCCTATGTATAATTTGGCAGAAGAAGAGGAAGGGTGGCTTCATACTTCATGTTTGGGATATAAAGTTGACTGCATTTTGAATTATTTAAAATAATTTTTAAACATTTTGAAAGATTAATGAAAATTCATTTTTATAACTTTCATTATCAGTAAAATGTTTGGCTTTTGAATAATAAATACTGTTTTTCAATTTATTATTCTAGTATGATGGCTCCAAGCGAGTTTAATGTGAATATAGAAAAGAACTACTTTTTAAAGTACATGTGGGGCCTGACACAGTGGCTCATGCCTGTAATGCCAGCACTTTGGGAGGCTGAGGTGGGCAGATAACTTGAGGCCAGGAGTTCCAGAGCAGCCTGGCCAACATGGTGAAACCCCATCTCGACTAAAAATAACAAAAATTAGCTGGGTGTGGTGGCACACGCCTGTAGTCCTAGCTACTCAGGAAGCTGAGGCAGGAGAATTGCTTGAACCAGGGAAGCTGAGGTTGCAGTGAACTGAGATTGCACCACTGCACTCCAGCCTAGGCAACAGAGTGAGACATCAACTCAAAAAAGAGAAGAATAATACATAGGAGTTGCAAAGTCAAATGACTTGAAGGGCCAAGCAAATAACTTAGCGCAGGCAGGTTTAAAACAGCCAGGAATGGTGTGGAATCTGGACTTTTGCATGCTATATCTAAAGGATTCAGAATCAGAAGTTTTAAAAAATACTTTATCATAAGTGTTCCTAAACAAAAAAGGATATTCCCAGAACATCCATTTTCTACTTTTTTTTTTTTTCCCCGAGGCAGAGTTTTGCTCTTATTGCCCAGGCTGAAGTACAATGGTGTGATCTTGGCTCACCACAACCTCTGACTCTCGGGTTCAAGCGATTCTCCTGCCTCAGCCTTCCAAGTAGCTGGGGTTAAAAACGTGCCACCATGCTCGGCTAATTTTGTATTTTTAGTAGAGATGGAGTTTCACCATGTTGGTCAGGCTGGTCTCGAACTCCTGACCCTCAGGTGATCCATCCACCGGGGCTTCCCAAAGTGCTGGGATTACAGGTGTGAGCCACCACACCCAACCAAATTTTCTGCTTTTTATATAAGCAAAATATAGGAATAATCATTCAAATGAGGCCCAGCATGGGGCTTACATTTACAATTCCAGCACTTTGGTAAGCCAAGGGGAGAGGCTTGCTTGAGCCCAGGAGGTTGAGACCAGCTAGGCAACATGGCAGAGACCCTGTCTCTCTTTTTTAATAGTCAGAAAAAAATAAAATCATTTAAATGTTTGAACATGACAAAAGGGTTAGGTGGTTTATTAAGTTGAATTTGCTATATAGTATCATTTGTGACTTTTAGTGGATATGAATGGCAAACCTTGTGTAGCAGATAGAATTAAATGAAGATGATTAAAAGTATTTTTAAAACACCTTTATTTCAAATATTTATGAAAATATCCCTGTAAATGTGCCGTACCCAAGGCCCCTAAATCTTAATCTTGAAAATGTATTGTTATTAGCATACTTTATATAGTGGGTTTTTTGGGGTTTGTTTGTATTGGAGATAGGGTCTCACTGTGTTGCCCAGGCTGGAGTGCAGTGCCCTGATCACGCCTCACTTGCAGCCTCAGCCTCCCTGGCTCAGGTGATTCTCCTACTTCATCCTCCTGAGTAGCTGGGACCACAGGCACAAGTCACCACGCCTGGCTTTTTTTTTTTTTTTTTTTTTTTTTTTTTAATAGATGGGGTTTCACCATGTTGCCCAGGTTGTTCTCAAACTCCTGGCCTCAAGAAACCCTCCTGCCTTGGCCTCTCAGAGTGGTGGGATTACAGGCATGAGTCACCAGGCCCGGCTAGGCCTTTGCGACCATAGCTTCCTGCAACCTCCACTGCCCAGGCTTCAGTGATCCTCCCACTTTAACCTTTCAATTAGCTGGGACTGTACGCATGTGTCACAATGCCCAGCTGATTTTTGTATTTTTATTAGAGATGGGGTTTTGCCGTGTTGCCCGGGCTGTTGTATGTTTTCTAATACAAGCTAAAGATTTCCTTTAAAACTTGTCTTTGCAAACGAGGAAGTAAAATCAGAAAGGGAATAATAATGTCTTAAATTTTATTGTTCATTTTGTTTTCTTTCATTTCTTTCTCCTAGGTGGGAATGATGAACAATCCCAATCCTTATGGTTCACCATATACTCAGAATCCTGGACAGCAGATTGGAGCCAGTGGCCTTGGTCTCCAGATTCAAACAAAGACTGTACTATCAAATAACTTACCTCCATTTGCTATGGACAAAAAGACAGTTCCCGGTGGAGGAATGCCCAACATGGTGAGTACTAATCAATTATAGACTTGTTTTCATACTGACATTTTGACAAAAGAATTGTGATAAACTTTTACTGCTTCTATTCTATACACTGAGATTTGTATACACTAGAAACCTAAATCGATAAGTAATTGAGGATCCCTGTGAGTCAGAAGACTTGTGCTTCCTTTCCATTTTTCATAATTTTTTTTCCTTGTGGTTGTTGATAAGTGAGCATGTTGATCCAAACAGGAGTAAGTGGAAACATTGATTTTTGTTACTATCTTTGTGCAAGCTGCTAGTAGTAAATATGTCGTAGTCTGCATTCATCTTTAGAAAAAATTGTCTTGTAATTTCTCTTTCAGATGTTTTAGTTTTGTCCTTTCCTTTGTGTCATTATGTTCATGGACTGCCTGTATTTCAAATACTCTCCCAAATACTAGAGCTATACAGGTGAATGAAACATATGAAACATGTCATCTCTGTCCTGTGAAATGTTCGCTTTTTTTTTTTTTTTTTTTTTTGTCGGAGTCTTGCTCTATCCCCCAGGCTGTAGTGCAGTGGTGCCATCCTGGCTCATTGCAACCTCAGCCTCCCAGGTTCAAGCAGTTCTCCTGCCTCGGCCTCCCCAGTAGCTGGGACTACAGGCACGTGCCGCCATGCCTGGGTAACTTTTCGTATTTTTAGGAGAGACAGGGTTTCACCATGTTGCCCAAGCTGTGAAACTCCTTAGCTCAGGCAGTCCGCCCACCTGGGCCTCCCAAAGTGCTAGGATGACCGGCGTGAGTCACCTGCACAGCCCCAATGTTCGCTTTTCAGTTTAAAAAGCTAAATTTCTCCCAGAGCTTAGATAAACTAATTTTTCAGCCACCTGAAAAACCCCTCTGTTCAGTCTCCTGAGAAGTTCTTCATTGCTCTTTAAAGCCTAATTTGGGTATGCTTCTGACTACAGACACCTTCTCTCCTTTCCCTCTCCCACTGGAGTTTACCATGTCCTTCTCTCTGCTTTTGCTCTCTGTATATTATGCATAGTTATATCACTTAGTAATACCTTTTTTTGTTTTACTAAATTGAGCTTCTTAAAGGTAGGAGCCATGGTTTATGAATTCCCTGTGGCAAAAAATGGAGTCTGGCTTATAGTATATCAACCATAAAGGTTTTAATTGAAAATATCCACATCTCTATTTCTAAAGAGATAGCACATTATGACTCCTGCCGTTAAACATGTTGTTATATTTCTCAGGGCCAACAGCCAGCCTCGCAGGTCCAGCAGCCAGGCCTGGTGACTCCAGTTGCCCAAGGGATGGGTTCTGGAGCACATACAGCTGATCCAGAGAAGCGCAAGCTCATCCAGCAGCAACTTGTTCTCCTTTTGCATGCTCACAAGTGCCAGCGCCGAGAGCAAGCCAATGGGGAAGTGAGGCAGTGCAACCTTCCCCACTGTCGCACAATGAAGAATGTCCTAAACCACATGACACACTGTCAGTCAGGCAAGTCTTGCCAAGGTAAGTGGACCCACAGGGTTACTATACTTAGCAATTAATTTTTACAGTCAGGGAGAAGGAGGAAAATGTGACCAAGTCTATTTTGTGGTGATGGATATGTTTAGTATCTTAATTGTGGTATATATGGTGTATATGTATGTACAAAGTCATTAAAATAGGCCAGGCCAAGTGTGGTGGCTCATACTTAAAATCCCAGCACTTTGATAGGCCAAATGGGGAGGATTTCTTGAGGCCACAAATTTGAGACCAGCTTGGACAACATAGTGAGACCTCGCTGGGCATGGTGGTGCAACTGTAATCCTAGCTGAGAACTAAGAAGGCTGAGGAAGGAGGATTACTTGAGCCCAGGAAGTCAAGGCTGCAGTGGGCTATGATTGCACCACTGTACTCCAGCCTGGATGACAGTGCGAGACCACGTCTTTTAAAAAAAGCCTGGGCGCAGTGGCTCATGCCTGTCATCCCTGCACTTCGAGAGACTGAGGCGGGCAGATCACTTGAGCTCAGGATTCGAGACCAGCCTGGGCAATATGGTGAAACCTCGTCTCTACAAAAAATTACGGAAGAAAATCAGCCGGATGCCTGGGTGTGTGCCTATAGTCCCAGCTTCTTGGGAGACTGAGGTGGGAGGATGGCTTGAGCCCAGGAGGTTAGGGTTGCTGTGATTCAGCCTCATACCACTGCACTCCAGCCTGGGCAATAGCGCCAAACACTAGTTCAAAAAACAACAACAAAGTATACATAAATATGTGCAATTTTTAAAATACTGTTTATACCTCAAAGCATTTTTAAAATTCCATTGTCTAAATGCATCATCACAGTTTACTCGGTAAAGGTCATCTTGGCTGCATCCATTCCATGGCAATTATGGATAAAGCTGTCCATAATAAACAAAATGAATTTTGAGACTCCTTTGGTAATAGTATCTAACCTTATTTTAGGAAATGATAAAAAACGGTATCATTTTTGTGAGCAAATATATAAGAATATGGGAAGAGTAGAAATTTAAAAGGTCTTCCCTTGTGCTGATCCTCATAGACTTTGAGTTTTATTGGCCCCAGCATAGCATACTTTAAATGTTATTGAGGGTTTGCTAACTGTCATGTAGGCAAGTGTTCAATTTAATACAATTTACTATAGTCATTTTTAGCCAATCTAATGCAGTTTTTGTAGAGTCTTTAGAAAGTGTTCTTACAGGTGTGTGTGTCTTAACATTGGTTCAGAGTACATTTGCTTAGATTAAAGTAGGTTGTATAGCATGATGGTGGAAAGTGAGGGCTCTAGAGCCAGACTCCTTGAGATTGAATCTCACTTTGAGTACTCTGTGACTTTGTGCAAATTGCTTACCCATTCTTTTGTTTTCTTGAGTGTAAATTCTGAGTATTAATAGGAGCTATACCTTATAGGGCTGTTATGAAGATGAAATAATGCATTTATAGTACTTAATAAGTAATCAGCAAGTTAGCTATTATTAATGTAAAAGCATAACCTGCTCTTGAAAAAAAATTTTCTTCTCTTTAGTGGCACACTGTGCATCTTCTCGACAAATCATTTCACACTGGAAGAATTGTACAAGACATGATTGTCCTGTGTGTCTCCCCCTCAAAAATGCTGGTGATAAGAGAAATCAACAGCGTAAGTGATGAAGTCTTTGAAGATTTATATGAAAAGTTTTTAAAGTCTCACCAGTGCCATTTATAGTACTTCTTGATTATGTGAGGGACCTGTGGTGGTGTACTGTGTTGAAAAGTGTTTTTTTTCCCCTTTTAATTTTTCTGTATCCCTCATATTAGTGCATAGAATTGAACTGCTTAGGGAGTTTGAAGCTACAGTGAGCTATGGTTATGCTACTGCACTCCAGCCTGGGTGATGGAGTGAGACCTTGCCTCAATTTAAGAAAAAAAAAAGGCCAGTGCAGTGGCTCACCCCTGTCATCCAAACAATTTTGGAGGCCAAGGCAAGAGGATTGCTTGAGGCCAGGAGTTCAGCCTAAGCAACTTAGCAAGACCTTGTATCTTCCAAAAAATTTAAAAATTAACTGTGTGTGGTTTATGCCTGGGTGAGAAGAGAGGATTGCTTGAACTCAGGAGTTGGAAATTTCAGTGGGCTATGATTGTGCCACAGCAGTCCAGCCTGGGTGACAGCAATACTCTGTTTCAAAAAAAAAAAAAATAATTGAACTGCTTAAACATCTAAAATAACATCCGAGAACTCTCAATATTCGTTCTTTTTTTTTTTTTTTTTTGAGACAGAGTCTTGCTCTTTTACTAGCCTAGAGTGCAGTAGCACGATCTCAACTCACTGCAACCTCCGTCTCCCGGATTCAAGTGATTCCCCTGCCTCAGCCTCCCGAGTAGCTGGGGCTATAGGCACACACCACCACACCTGGCTAATTTTTTGTATTTTAGTAGAGACGGGGTTCCACCATGGCCAGGATGGTTCTCGATCTCCTGACCTCATGATCCGCCTCCTTTGGTCTCCCAAAGTGCTAGGATTACAGGCATGAGCAGCCACAACCAGCCTCAATAGTCATTCTTTAGACAAACAGCAAATAGGTAAATTTATGTTCCACTTTGAACATACGAAAATTCAAAGAATATGGCTTTGACATTGGGCAAGTTACACTTTTATACTTGTGATCTAAACATTCCAGTAGTTGGAAATTATTTAAAAGGAAAAAATTGGGGATTATTTTTATAATATTGGGATAAAGAAGAACTTTTAAGAGAAAAGATAAGTAAAAATATTAACATTTTAAAACTGTAGCTACCACATTTCTGTAGCAATAAAACTTTAAACTTTTAGGGTTAAAGGACAAATTTGGGAAGTATATGTACAGCATATGAAAATGGAATTACATTTTATAACAAAATTCTGAATAGGAAATAAGACAATTGAGCAGGGACTAGAGGAGAGAGGGGAACTCCCATATAATTCACTATTAAATTAAGAAGAGAAATAGGTACTATTTCTCTTTTGTGATGTGGGCAGAAATGATGCTGCCAGGTGTTGTCAGTTGAATGGCTCTAAAGCATTCATACAGTGTTGGTCGGAACATTAATAAAGCCCTTTGGGAAGGCTATTTGGCATTCAGAATCAAAAGCCTTTTATACCAGTGGTCCACTTTTACCAATCAGTTCTACAACTAGAAATTTCTTCAAGGAGATAATGGAAGACAAGATTCATGTACTAAGATGTTTCATAATCACGTAACAATTTTGTGTGTGTGTGTGTGTGTGTGTGTTTAATTTACTCAGACATGTTAGTCTTCTTTTCTCACCACCAGTAATGTAATACTATATCTTTTGTTTTTTTATAGCAATTTTGACTGGAGCACCTGTTGGACTTGGAAATCCTAGCTCTCTAGGGGTGGGTCAACAGTCTACCCCCAACCTAAGTACTGTTAGTCAGATTGATCCCAGCTCTATAGAAAGAGCCTATGCAGCTCTTGGACTACCCTATCAAGTAAATCAGATGCCAACGCAACCCCAGGTGCAAGCAAAGAACCAGCAGAATCAGCAATCTGGGCAGTCTCCCCAAGGCATGCGGCCTATGAGCAACATGAGTAAGTTTGTGTCATCCTGAAAACATGGTTTTGGTTGTGTTGGTAAATGACATCTATAAATGGAGGGTTGTTAGCTTATTCTTACTTTTTCTGCTAGATGATTAATTTTTTGAAGTAATTGTTTTGTTTTGTTTGTTTGTTTTTTTGAGACTGTGTCACCCAGGCTGGAGTGCAGTGGCGCAATCTCAGCGCACTGCAACCTCTGCCTTCCCTGTTCAAGCGATTCTCCTGTCTGTACCTCCCAAGTAGCTTAGCTGGGATTACAGGCACGTGCCACCATGCCCAGCTACTTTTTGTAGTTTTAGTAGTGACGGGGTTTCACCATGTTGGCCAGGATGGTCTCGATCCCTTGACCTCGTGGTCCACCCGCCTCGGCCTCCCAAAGTGCTGGGATTATAGGCTTGAGCCACCGCGCCCGGCCTTTTTTGTATTTTTAATAGAGATGGGGTTTCACCATATTGGCCAGGCTGGTCTAGAGCTCCTGACCTCAAGTGATCCTCCTGCCTCTACCTCCCAAATTGCTGGGATTACAGGCGTGAGCTACTGGGCCCAGCCTGAAGTAATTTTTTAAAGATTACAGTTTAAAAGGTCTCTTACAATTCATCTTTAAGAGGTAACCGCCATTGGCTTGTATCTTCGTTGATCCTTTTTTTGCATTATATGAGTTTAGATTTGCAGAAATGAGATCCCATATATTACTACACAACAACTTTCTTTAATGCTGTGTAGACGTCTTTCATAGTCAGTACCCCATGTATTGTTTTAAATGGTTGTATAGTATGTCATTCTATGTAACAGTCTTGGCTTTTGTTTTTTATTAGTTTTTAAGGTAGATTCTCGCTCTATTGGCAGGCTGGAGTGCACTGGCACAATCTCAGCCCACTGCAACCTCCACCTGTGTCGGGTTCAAGCGATTCTCCTGCCTCAGCCTCCTGAGTAGCTGGGACTGCTATAACCAGCTACTATATATATCCATAAACACACACACACACACACTCACTCACTCACTGTCTCACTCTGACCGTAGTAGCCACCGTGCCCAGCTAATTTTTGTGTTTTTAGTAGAGATGGGGTTTCACTATGTTGGCCAGGCTGGTCTCGAACTCCTGACCTGGTGATCCACCTGCCTCTGCATCCCAAAGTACTCAGAATCCAGGCGTGAGCCATCACACCCAACCTAACAATCTTTTACAGATGGACATTGAGATCTCCAATTATTTAGCTTTTTTAAACTGTACAATAGAAATTCTTGTGTTTTGACTTGAGGCATTTTGGCTTGAAATGTATAGAAATGAGTGTGGTTGTTGGTAATGATTATTTTCATGTGTTTGGCAGGAGGAATAGTATGCCTTTTCAAATAGGTGTTTTTTGTGTTTTTTTGTTTTTTTTTTTTTCTTGAGGCGGAGTTTCACTCTTGTTACCCAGCCTAGAGTGCAATGGTGCAATCTCGACTCACTGCAACCTCCGCCTCCTGGGCTCAGGCAATCCTCCTGCCTCAGCCTCCCAAGTAGCTTGGCATGAGTCACCATGCCCGGCTAATTTCTGTATTTTTAGTAGAGATGGGGTTTCACCATTTCGGCCAGGCTGGTCTTGAACTCCTGGCCTTGGCCTCTGAAAGTACTGGGGTTACAGGCGTGAGCTACGGCACTTGGCTCAGATAGTTTTTTTAATGACTTGTTTGCCTCACTTGTTGTATGACTGAGAGAGAAGAGGGAGAAGTGTTCTAGTATCCTAATGTGGGGATATATGTATGTTTCTCTGATTGCATATGATAAAAGTGGGAGATTTGTTCTAATATCTTAATTTTGGGATGTATGTTTCTCTAATTGCATATGATAAAATCAGACAGCTTTGTTCTGTCTTACCACTCTGTTGTCAAGCAGTTTAAATATCTAAGCTATTTTGTTTGAGTAGTTAGACATCCAGCATTGTAAAGATGGGGTCTTGTCCAGGCTGGTCTTGAACTCCTGGGTTCAACCACTTCTGTCTTGGCCTCCCCAAGTGCTTTGATTACAGGCGTGAGCCACTGCACCTGGCCTAAGGTTTGTGTTTGTTTGTTTGTTTGTTTGTTTTTTCCTTGAGACGGAGTCTCACTGTGTTGCCCAGGCTGGAGTGCAGTGGCACAGTCTTGGCTTACTGCAGCTTCCGCCTCCCAGGTTCAAGCAGTTCTTCTTGCCTGAGCCTCCCGAGTAGCTTGGATTGCAGGTGCCTGCCACCATGCCCAGCTAATTTATTAATTATTATTATTATTATTATTATTATTTTGTTGTAGAGACAGGGTTTTGCCACATTGGCCAGGCTGGTCTTGAACTCCTGACCTCCGGTGATCCACAGGCCCCTGCTTCCCAAAGTGCTGGGATTATAGACTTGAACCACCACGCCCGGCCCAGCTATGACTATTTTAGATAGTCATGCTAATGCCTATTACCAGACCATTTCTACTTTAATATTACTTACATTCTTCATTCCTGCCCTGTTGTTATTGTTTATTACTTGGTCTGTTTATTTCTTTTTTTTTTTTTCTTTTCTTTTCTGATTTCATTCTTGAAAGCAGCATTTTCAAAGAGGATGTTTTTCTTGATTTTTACCTAATCGGGGACTTAGATGAGTTTTCTTAGATAAATTTTGGATAACTAGAAACAGAGAGAGAGAGAGCGAGTGTGTGAGAGTGTGTTTGTGTGTGTGTGGTGGTGTGTGGTGCGTGTGTGTGTGTGTGTGTGTCCTGAGACTGACTGACTGGGTCTTGCTTTGTCACCAAGGCTGGAATGCAGTAGCACGATCTTGGCTTACTGCTACCTCTGCCTCCTTGTCTCAAGCGATTCTCCCACCTCATTCTCCCAAGTAGCTGGGACCACACATGTGCACCACCACACCTGGCTAATTTTTGTATGTTTTATAGAGACAGGATTTCGTCATGTTGCCCAGGCTGGTCTTGAACTCCTGAGCTCAAGTGATCCACCTGCCTCATCCTCCCAAAGTAGTTTGTGTTTTTCATTACTTCCATGACAATCAGTGCTAACTTGTTAAATAATTATTGAGTGACAAGTTTTTAAGCAAGACTAAGAAATGGAATGAGAAGCAATCCTGCCTTTTCAGGCCTCCTTTCACCTCTTCTGTATTGAAAGTACGTGTACCGGCCAGGCGCGGTGGCTCACGCCTGTAATCCCAGCACTTTGGGAGGCCGAGGCGGGTAGATCACGAGGTCAAGAGATTGAGACCATCCTGGTCAACATGGTGAAACCCCGTCTCTACTAAAAATACAAAAAATCAGCTGGGCATGGTGGCATGTGCCTGTAATCCTGGCTACTTAGGAGGCTGAGGCAGGAGAATTGCCTGAACCCAGGAGGCGGAGGTTGCGGTGAGCCGAGATCATGCCATTGCACTCCAGCCTGGGTAACAAGAGCAAAACTCCGTCTCAAAAAAAAAAAAAAGAAAAGAAAAAGAAAGTACGTGTACAGGGGTAATGGAAAGTTGGACGTGGAGATGATCATATTTTCCCCTCTTGTTTTATATCTTTTGTCTTGGAATTAGCATTGCTTTTTTCTCTCCCATTCTCTGTTACGCAGAATGCACCTTGCCTTCCTTAATTTTTAGGATGTTGACCTTAGGTGGTGGTTTTCCCCTGGCCTAAAATTTTATTATTGTAATTGGGTAGTTCTGTTTATTTTTCAAACTTCTATGTGTAGTTCCTATTATAGCTCTTTTCCTTTCCTTATATTATCTACCTATGTACTTTTTATATGTGAAGAATTATTTGAATAATAGTTTTGGGGGGATTTTCTTTTCCCATTTCTTTGTTGTCTTTTTATTTTAGAATTAGGTTTAAGATTATTCAAGCTTCCTTTTTTTTTTTTTTTTTTAATTAATTTCTTCAGTTAGTAATATCTTTGTAGTAATAATTATCTTTGTGAACAAGAACCTTTAGAATAGACCTGGAGACTTTGGAGAGAATGTGTTGTTGTGTTTTTATTTATCAGTAGATGTCACTAAGATAAGCAAATTCACATACAGTGTAATTAGTCTTTCATTTCATTGCAGTAAACAAATTTATATTAGATATAATTTATCTACAAATGTGATTTTCACACAAGATTTTTACAATAACACGTAATTAATGACATCACAGTTCTAGTTGGAAAAGACCACTTGTAACAGCTAAATTTCAGAGAACTAGCCTGATAATATTAGAAGGAAAATTTTGTCCAGGCATAGTAACTCATGCCTGTAATCCTGTCACATGGGAGGCCAAAGTGGGAGGATTACCTGAACCCAGGAGTTTCAGGATGCTGTTGTCATCGCGTGCCTGCATTCCAACCTGGGTGACAGAGTGAGACTTTGTCTCAAAAACAAAGCAATGAAGGAAAGTTCATCCTAAGCATTTAGGGAGCATTATGAATGAAGGCAGAAGCATTTCTCTTCATTAAAAATGATTTGTAAATTGCGCCAATTATTTTCATTTTAGTGGGAAGTTTGTTTTTAACTAAAAATAACTTGAGAGGTGTATTAATAGAACTGTATCAAAAGTCTTTTAACTACATGAAAATTTGGTTTGATGTGAGTGTTGCTGTTGGTTTAGTGATTTTTTTAACGTTGAACAACATGGGTTTGAATGTGTTTAGTTTTTCTTTTTTGTTTGTTTGGTGTTTTTGTTTGGTTTATCTCTCCATTCACTTAAGATGTTTTTAGTGTTTAAAGCAATAGAATATACAGCCAGGCATGGTGGCTTATGCCCGTAATCCCAACATACTGGGAGGCCAAGACAGGAGGATTGCTTGAGCATAGGCATTTGAGACCAACCAGGGCAACATAAAGAATGAGTAGCCCCGCCTGTAATCCCAGCACTTCGGGAGGCCGAGGCGGGTGGATCATGAGGTCAACAGATCGAGACCATCCTCGTCAACATGGTGAAACCCCGTCTCTACTAAAACTACAAAAAATGAGCTGGGCATGGTGGCGCGTGCCTGTAATCCCAGCTACTCAGGAGGCTGAGGCAGGAGAATTGCCTGAACCCAGGAGGCGGAGGTTGCGGTGAGCCGAGATCGCGTCATTGCACTCCAGCCTGGGTAACAAGAGCGAAACTCTGTCTCAAAAAAAAAAAAAAAATGAGTAGCCCCATCCCTCTTTATTTTTTGAAATGGAGTCTCACTCTGTCCGTGCAATGGCATGGTCTCGGCTCACTGCACCCTCTACCTCCCAGGTTCAGGCGATTCTCCTGCCTCAGGCTCCCGTGTAGCTGGGACCACAGGCACATACCATCACACCCAGCTAATTTTTGTATTTTTAGGAGAGACAGGGATTCACTGTGTTGGCCAGGCTGGTCTCGAACTCCTGACCTCGTGATCTGCCCTACTCAGCCTCCCAAAGGGCTGGGATTACAGGCGTTAGCAACTGTGCCCAGCCTCCATCTGTTTTTTTTGTTTGTTTGTTTGTTGTTGTTTTTTTTTTGAGACAGAGCCTCGTTCTGTCACCCAGGCTGGAGTGTAGTGGGCACAGTCTTGGCTCACTGGAACCCCACCTCCCCGGGGTTTCAAGTGATTCTCCTGCCTCAGCCTCCTGAGTAGCTGAGATTACAGGTGCCCGCCACCACACCCAGGTAATTTTTGTATTTTTAGTAGAGATGGGGTTTCACCTTGTTGGTCAGGCTGGTCTCAAACTTCTGACCTCATGAACCACCCACCTCGGCCTCCCAAAGTGCTGGGATTATAGGTGTGAGCCACTGGGCCCAGCCCCATCTCTATTTTTAAAAAGAAAGAAATTGGATATTCATTAAAAGTGTTAATTGAAAAAGTAATGTATGTCCATTAGAGGTATTCAAGCCATTTTGAAGGAGTGTTGGAATATTCGATAAAATGTTTTTGTTTCACCTGCATACTGCTTTGTGTGTGTGTCTCTCTCTCTAAGGATCACTATACTTAGGTTCCTATATCCCTACATGCATTTGTGTTGCTTATGGATGCATCTGCATGTATAGTTCAATTCTTAGATTGAGGACTCTTTGCTCCTTCTATACATATGTAACTGTAAGACATCAAAAGTGGAAATTCTAAGAATATATGCATGAATGTTTTTACTTGCCAAATAGCTCTTCCAAGAGATTATCAGTTTATACATCTGTGCATTTTGGTTGAAAATGTATATTTCCACACATCACTCTCAACACTTGGATTTAGAAAACCAACTTCTAAAAGCTTTGAGAATTTCATACATGAAAATATATTTTAAGTTTAACTGTAAGTGTTGTGCACATTTGCATTTTTTTTTTTAAGTTACTATATTTAATTTTCTATAATTTACTGTTGGGGTGGTTCATCTTTTTCTTACCTGTTTGTAAGGGTTCTTCAGATCAGCCTTTATATTGCCAATTATTTATTGTATGTGCTGCTAACATTTTTTCTGATTTGTCATTTGTTTGTTGACTTTATGGTGTTTATTGTGTGGTGGCTGTTGGATTTATTTCTGTCTTTTATTATTTCGTTTTGTCTTAGGTGCTAGTCCTATGGGAGTAAATGGAGGTGTAGGAGTTCAAACGCCGAGTCTTCTTTCTGACTCAATGTTGCATTCAGCTATAAATTCTCAAAAGTAAGTCATCATGGTTTGTACGCTGGGTCACATTACAAATACTGGTTAACAACTCCTTGTTTGAGTTTTTAACTTAGTTTCCATGGATTGTGGATGTCCTTGAATATAGACACATGTTTAAGTCCATTCTTTCTTCTTTCTACAGTCTTATTCAAAATTGTATTGATTATCTAGTGTAGCCTAGACCTTCCCTAATATAGCAGGATGTTGCAAGGTTACAGCTCTATTAGAATCAGTTTGCCTTATCCTGATGTTAAGAATTAATCCACCAGCCTGAGCAATATGTCAAGACCTCTTCTGTACAAGAAAATACTAAAAAGTTAGCTAGGTGTGGTGGTGTGCACCTGTACTCCCAGCTACTGAGGAGGCTGAGTTGGGAGAAGCACTTGAGCTTGGGAGGTCAAGGCTGTGGTGAGTGGTGATTACACCACTGCACCCCAGTCTGATTGACAGCGAGACTCTGTCTGAAAAAATAATAATTTTTTTCTTTAAGAGAAAGAATTAGTCCATCATCCAAAGGATTCCCTGAGGTGAGCTGTGTTAAAATGGCAGCTTAGACTAATAACACAAGACTTAGAAAACTTAAGTCTCGACCAGGCATGGCAGCTCACCTGTAATCCCAGCACTTTGGGAGGCTGAGGCAGATAGATCGCTTGACCTTAGGAATTCAAGACCAGCATGGACAACATGGTGAAACCTTGTCTCTGCTAAAAATACAAAAATTTGCCGGGTGTGGTGGTACACACCTCTAATTCCAGCTACTCAGGATGCTGAGGCAGGAGAATCACTTGAACCCGGGAGGCAGAGGTTGTAGTTAGCTAAGATCACGCCACTGCACTCCTGCCTGAGCAACAGGTTGAGACTCTGTACAAAAAATGGCCAGGCTCAGTGGCTCACACCTGTAATCCCAGCATTTTGGGAGGCTAAGGCAGGTGAATTACATGAGGTGAGAAGTTTGAGACTAGCCTAGCCAACATGGTCAAACCCCAGCTCTACTAAAATAGAAAAATTAGCCGGACATGGTGGCAGGTGCCTATAATCCCAGCAACTTGGGAGGCCGAGGCAGGAGAATTGCTTGAATCCAGGAGGCGGAAGTTGCAGTGAGCTGGAATTGCCCCACTACACTCCGTCCTGCACGACAGAGCAAGACTCCCATCTCAAAAACAAAATACAAAAAATTAGCTGGGCATGGTGATGCATGCTTGTAATCCAAGCCACTTGGGAGGCTAAGGCACAAGAATTGCCTGAACCTGGGAGGCAGAGGTTGCAGTGAGCTGATATTGCACCACTGCACTCCAGCCTGGGTGACAGAACAAGACTGGGTGTCAAAAAAAAGCATAACAAAACCCAGAAAATTAAGTCTTTTGTTATCTTGTGTTAGGACCTCATTCTGCCCTCCAAACAAAGAAATAAAACTTTCCCTCACACTGGTATGAACATGCACACTTTAAAATCAGTCTAGTCATATAGTTCTCCCTGCCCATCTCCTTAATGCAAATAAACATGACATATAGTGTATTGGTCCCATTACAATAATCAGTCAGCTTGAATTAAATGAGATCTTCTTTCTCCTACCCTTCTTCACTAAAACTATTTGGTAACCCCTTTTTGAAGCCCAATGATGAGTGAAAATGCCAGTGTGGCCTCCCTGGGTCCTATGCCAACAGCAGCTCAACCATCCACAACTGGAATTCGAAAACAGTGGCATGAAGATATTACTCAGGATCTTCGAAATCATCTTGTTCACAAACTGTAAGTAAGATTGTGGACATGTCTCATTCATAGATGTCATGCTAACATGCTTTCAATCTCCCGGGCATTTAACCACCAAAGGAGTATTAGCAGTTTTTCTGTAGCCTGGCCAATGATGTTAATACTTCTACTCTTGTGAATTCTTGCTGCTGCTGCTTTTTTCCCTCTCAACCTTTGTCACCATCTATAGTCTTTCAGCTTTAGTAGTATGTGAACTGTTCTATCTAGTGCCATTAATATATTAATTAAAAATTTGTTTTTAGTCATTGCCTTTGCAAAACTTATAAGAAAAACTAGGCCTCAGCTCATTAAAATATTGTGGTGGTAACATCCTTTTCTGTTACTCCCTGTGGAGGTTTTTTATTGAGACAGTCTCACTCTGTTGCCTAGGCTGGAGTGCTGTGGCTCAATTCCAGCTCACTGCAGACTATGCCTCCCGGATTCCGGTGATTGTCCTGCCTCAGCCTCTCAGGTAGCTGGGACTACAGGCATGCGCCACCACACCTGGCTAATTTTTGTATTTTTAGTAGAGATGGGATTTCACCATGTGGGCCAGGCTGGTCACGAACTCCTGACCTCAAGTGACCTGCCCACCTCAGCCTCCCAAAGCACCAGGATTACAGGTGTGAGCCACTGCGCCCAGCTTGGTAGAGCTTTTATTATGTTGAAAAGTTGACTCTGATAGGGTCGTCTCTGTGGTCTTCTCGTCCTCCAGATGTGCACGTGGCAGTTTATTTTTTGAGAAGTTGGTATATTTCATGTACTGCCTCACAAACGCCATCTTAATCTAAAAAGTTCTTGTCAGATGAAGGAAGGGGAGGCATATAGAGCAGGGAAGTGAAATCTGCTCAGCATCATAAAAAGGTTGAGCTTGGACCTCACTGATTACAGAGTTTACCCTTCAAACACCATGCTGCATTTTTTTTCTTGGAGAAGTCTTTTCATTTCAGTTCCACTTAATAGCAGGGTATTCTTGACTGTATCCATATTTTTTAATTGATTGGGGAACTTTTTTTTTTTTTTGTTTTTTTTTGTGATGCAGTATAGCGCGTTTTACCCTGGCTGGAGTGCAATGGCGCGATCTCGGCTCACCGCAACCTCCGCCTCCTGGGTTCAGGCAATTCTCCTGCCTCAGCCTCCTGCGTAGCTGGGATTACAGGCATGCGCCACCATGCCCAGCTGAATTTTTGTATTTTTCGTAGAGACGGGGTTTCACCATGCTGACCAGGATGGTCTCGATCTCTTGACCTCGTGATCCACCCGCCTCGGCCTCCCAAAGTGCTGGGATTACAGGCGTGAGCCACCGCGCC